TTCCATCAGCCCATATATTGAGATCCATGGGTCAAATCCTAAGGGTCTCTGTGGATTTCCACTCATTCCTTACTCAGGTAAAACACCCATTCACATCAAGTGACAGTCTAAGTAAAAACTTCATGATCTGTCCCTTGAGCAAAGCATAAGCCTCTGTATCCTATTAACATTGCAGCTGAAACTAAAACTGTAGCTTTGTGCAATGATCAGAGATTATTTCCATGTGATATCTCTGAAAGTATTCAGGTGTTTTAATATTCCCCTTCAAGTGTTAAGCTAGGTAGTAATAATTAGGAAAAAAAACCCAGCCCCTATAAAACCATTTTAAATTGATTGCATTGTGACTTCCTGTCTTTCCATCACTCTCTTTTTAGTCACTGTTCCATAATGGTGATAGTCCTAAATGGCTTGGATGTAGTCTGTTTTTGAAATGTTTTATCTGCTTGGCCCCCTCACTTTTGCAGTCCTTCTGGCACCACAAGTATGCAACACTACATGCAACGCAACGTGACCCGTCTGGATGTAAAGAGGCAAAACACTCTCGTCTCCCCTAGCACAAAGAACTACATGGCTTCCTAGTTGAAAAATCGTTTAAGACACTAGTTCCCAGAACACCCCCAACCCATAAACGTGCCCCCTTAAAAAACCATAACCCAGGAGTGGGAAAGTTTGATAGGGAAGGAGACTGTCCTTAGCAAACATTGCTATCAGCATTAAATGATTATCTGTTGGCTTCCTCCTGCTTCCCCTAACCTGTAAACACTGTTCTTTGCCATAGGCATACTGAGGAAATCATGCCAAACACAGCAGGTTTACAGTAATCAGCTGCCTGCAGAAGACTGTGCTCAAAAGAGCCCTCGGAAGATGAAAACACCTGTGCTGCCATGGGAGATCACAGTGGCACACAGATTCCGTGCTCTGCAGAAAACATTAACTAATGGAACCATCTGTGGATCCACGAATTTGTGTTTCATCTTTGGAACTGTGTCACCAAAGGTGATCATTCCACCAGTGATGACTGCTGTGCTCTCCACTCCACTGTACCTGGTACTGAACCCACAACAGATTCCTCATCTCTAGAAGATGCACGTGCAGCTGGAGCCCTGTGTCTTTCAACAAAAAGCAAAAACTAATAGTGACTGTGTGAGAGCTCCAATTCCAGGAAAGTAACAAATCCAGAGACTAAGAAGGGAGGGAAAGTGCTTCAAGACAGCAGACTCCCTACTTCTGCACAGGAGAGCTGCACACAGAGGGCGACACAGCATGTGCATCTCATGAGTACAATCCAGACCTAAATTATAGACTTTCTGTAGAGTCGTTCTGATCAAGTCCCCCTGAACCAAGCACAGACTGTGTCATTGCCATGCAGCCAGCCATCCTCTAAAATCCATCAGTCCCCCAACATTTCCACACACACTTCACCCGCCCCCACTATATCCCTATCGTTTCCTAAATTCCATCAAAGCCGAGCGTAATCTTCAAGAAAACTGAATATAATAGTTTACGGATATGGTATGTGTGTGGTTGTCACTTAGCAACCATGATGCTTTTGAAACAACGGTCAGATCCTCAGCTAAAATAAATCAGCGTTGGCTTCTTGATGGGCCGAATTGCATCAGTTTATATCAGCTGAGGATGTAGCCCAAGGTTTCTGGGTTTTGACATTTATTTGATTTCCTTTCCTCTGTCACTAATTTTAGACAAGTCGAGTATGAAAAATGCAATCATAGAATATCAGGGTTGGAAGGGACCTCAGGAGGTCATCTAGTCCAACCCCCTGCTCAAAGCAGGACCGATCCCCAATTAAATCATCCCAGCCAGGGCTTTGTCAAGCCTGACCTTAAAAACTTCTAAGGAAGGAGATTCCACCACCTCCCTAGGTAACGCATTCCAGTGTTTCACCACCCTCATAGTGAAAAAGTTTTTCCTAATATCCAACCTAAATCTCCCCCACTGCAACTTGAGACCATTACTCCTTGTTCTGTTATCAGCTACCACTGAGAACAGTCTAGAGCCGTCCTCTTTGGAACCCCCTTTCAGGTAGTTGAAAGCAGCTATCAAATCCCCCCTCATTCTTCTCTTCCGCAGACTAAACATTCCCAGTTCCCTCAGCATCTCCTCATAATTCATGTGTTCCAGTCCCCTAATCATTTTTGTTCCCCTCCGCTGGACTCTTTCCAATTTTTCCACATCCTTCTTGTAGTGTGGGGCCCAAAACTAGACACAGTACTCCAGATGAGGCCTCACCAATGTTGAATAGAGGGGAATGATCACATCCCTCGATCTGCTCGCTATGCCCCTACTTATACATCCCAAAATGCCATTCGCCTTCTTGGCAACAAGGGCACACTGTTGACTCATATCCAGCTTCTTGTCCACTGTAACCCCTAGGTCCTTTTCTGCAGAACTGCTGCCGAGCCATTCGGTCCCTAGTCTGTAGCGGTGCATGGGATTCTTCCGTCCTAAGTGCAGGACTCTGCACTTGTCCTTGTTGAACTTCATCAGATTACTTTTAGCCCAATCCTCCAATTTGTCTAGGTCCCTCTGTATCCTATCCCTACCCTCCAGCGTATTAACCTCTCCTCCCAGTTTAGCGTCATCTGCAAACTTGCTGAGGGTGCAATCCACACCATCCTCCAGATCATTTATGAAGATATTGAACAAAACCGGCCCCAGGACCAACCCTTGGGGCACTCCACTTGATATCGGCTGCCAACTAGACATGGAGCCATTGATCACTACCCGTTGAGCCCGACAATCTAGCCAGCTTTCTATCCACCTTATAGTCCATTCATCCAGCCCATACTTCTTTAACTTGCTGACAAGAATACTGTGGGAGACCATGTCAAAAGCTTTGCTAAAGTCAAGAAACAATACGTCCACTGCTCTCCCTTCATCCACAGAGCCAGTTATCTCATCACAGAAGGCAATTAGATTAGTCAGGCATGACTTGCCCTTGGTGAATCCATGCTGACTGTTCCTGATCACTTTCCTCTCCTCTAAGTGCTTCAGAATTGATTCCTTGAGGACCTGCTCCATGATTTTTCCAGGGACTGAGGTGAGGCTGACTGGCCTGTAGTTCCCAGGATCCTCCTTCTTCCCTTTTTTAAAGATGGGCACTAAATTAGCCTTTTTATAATTGTGTAAATCTAATACACTTCTTGCCATTTATGCAGTCAGTTTCCTTTTGGCATTTCATTCAGCTGAAACAACAAAGCTGGCCTGGACAGTTTCACTGGCTTGTTTCACTTTCCTTTTCTCATGCTCTATATGAGCCATGTTGCAAGGAGAATGGTTACATTCCCCCAACATATTTTCATATATTTTAAAAAAGGATCTGGGGATCATTCCTCTTAAGTTGTGTAAACCCCCTTTTCCTAAACATAAGGGATCAATTCTGCAGTCCAAAGACTTCCTGGTCCAATATTTCCAGCCTAACCTAAACTGACAGCATCTCTTTAATTTGGATACGGTAATCCTGTTGCTTAAGATGCCTCAAAAAAAGGCTTTGAGCCTCATCTTGCAGGCATTTTCAGGCACTGTCTAAGGTGGGTGTTTTACTTGGAGGAGGACTGCAGGACTGAAGCCTTTGTTATATGAAAGTAAAAAACATCAGATCAAATATGTGTTCTATCACCCAGGCCTAGAGAACAAAGTGAACTGAATGACTTTCACCCAGATTGATGTGAATTGTGGAATAAGTGTATTGCACACACAACACAGATAAGCAGCATATTTTGTTCTTTAAATGATAGGATCTGCAAACAAGTAAGTGCAACTTGGAATTAGTAGGAAACTGAAAGATGTGAAGGAGAGCACCAGGGGGAGCTGTTTCCCAGTTTGGAAGGTTTCCTAGAGTTACTGAGACTTGTAGAAAGTCCACACTAAGCCCAAAAAGAAAAGGAGTACTTGTGGCACCTTAGAGACTAACCAATTTATTTGAGCATAAGCTTTCGTGAGCTAAGCTAGCAATAAATTGGTTAGTCTCTAAGGTGCCACAAGTACTCCTTTTCTTTTTGTGAATACAGACTAACACGGCTGTTACTCTGAAACTAAACCCAAAGCTTGTCGACCTGATTGTGATTTCATGCTACCGTACATCAGGACTAAGTCCATTAAGTTGCCCTGTGTAAAACTGACATTATGGAAGAGGAGAATCAGAACTTACAAGAGAAGATGACAACACTGACAATCAGCTCCCAGCTAATGACCTCTAGTGCCCATTCTGATCTCAGTGGTTTCACACTATGATTGATTTCCAGGGGGAAATCATGTTTTGCTACTGCTACTCCTCTCATCTTACTATTTGTAAATGTTGCTATCCATGGGGCAAACTGTACACCAGTCACATACAAAGGGGGGCATTAAATTGGCCCCAGCCATTTAGTACAATGGAAAATATTACCTGGAATTCAGTAACTGCAAATGGGTTCATTTAATTTTAAGCATATTCTAATTCTACTCCAGACAGTCGGGAAAAATATCTCATCCAGATAACCAAGGATACAGCAGATGGCGCTCCACCATTAACAATGTTTGAAGAATGGTTTCAGAGGAACAGCCGTGTTAGTCTGTATTCGCAAAAAGAAAAGGAGTACTTGTGGCACCTTAGAGACTAACCAATTTATTTGAGCATGAGCTTTCGTGAGCTACAGCTCACTTCATCAGATGTTTACCGTGGAAACTGCAGCAGACTTTATATACACACAGAGAATATGAAACAATGAAGAACTTGCTAGAGCCCAAATCAAGCACAAATCTAAAACCAGACAGGTAGAAAATATGTTTCCTTCTCATTATCACAGCTGCCCACCATGGCCAGCAACATATTATTAAAACATATGGATACAAAGCCATAACATTACAACATGATTCTGACAATTGGCCAAAAACACAAAAGACAAGACTAACTGTTCTAATTAGTAGCAAGTGTAGAATACTGCTAGAACAGGGGCTAGCCACTAGTGACTCCTTTAGAATAGTTAAATGAGACAGGTTACCTTCAATTTAGCAGTTTAGCTTGCTGAAAAGTCACACGTAGATCTACTGCAGTAGCAGGCATAGATCAGCTTTGCTGTATCCCATCTGAAGCCCTTAAAAAAGGGAAAAGGATATATTGGAGCTGACAAGAACACATGGCAGATGAGCTTAAGTATGAGGGCAGTTGTCCCCAAGTATCACCAAGAACACAGGCTCAGAAAAGAATGTTCCGTAATCAGAGACAGCAGGTTACACTGGCTTTTTCGATTGGGTTGGAGTCACTTCTCCAGGTGAACCGCATCAAATAGCACCATCTAAATTGTGGGAAATATCTGGGGTTTGTATTGTGGGGAAAGTGGAGCTCGCGTATGAATTTTGTTCTCCCCCCCCCCCACACCCCTGCAAAAAAAAAAAAAAAAGTGTGTGCAATTCTACACAAATTTATTTTGCCAATTTTGCCGCCTTTCTCCAAATTTGCCACTGTGCTGCCAGCACCCTCACAATTTGAGCTATAATTATTGAACAATATTTATAAACAAGAGAAACAAACAGTAAAGAAATAAGTTGGACCCCTACCTCCCTTTGTGTTTAACTAAATTAAATAACTAAGTTAGCATCTGGGGTCTGGTTCAACCCCCATTAAAATCAACAAACTTCTTCAGGCTCCTCTTATGGCCTTCAATGGGCATTAGATCAGGCACGAGCACGTTAGAGGTTTTTCAAGTGCCAGCCACAAGATGAGAGAACTTCTCTGGTGAGAAAGTTACAGCAGTTATATGACTAACTGCACTTGTTCAACTTCTCCAGTCTGAACTTCTGCTTACCTACTTTCCAAGACAATACAAGAAATATAATATATTAATGTAGCTAACAAGGACACCAAAACCAGACACAGGACAAATACTGCACACCTCCCATTCATTTCAGTCAATTAATTAATTCCTTCAAGTAACATATTCTTTGGGGTGACAAACATAATCCACAATTTTTATTAATGCTCTTCCTTGCCAGTCAACTGGTATTTCGAGAAACACAATTTCTGCCCCTGGTGCTGGTGGCTACTCGTCTTGCAAAACCGGATGTTTCAGACAAGGAGCTACCAACAGCTGAAGAACACCCTTGGCTCTGACCACTCGTCCATCCCTGGAAGCCATCCCTGCTGGATGGAGATGGTCCTCTTCTTTTGGCTTCCAGGCTGGCTGCCTCTACTGGCTCAATCTCCTCAACTAACCTTGTTTTGATTTTTGTGTGTGATGAGAATGCTGATGCCTCTACTGTAATCTCTAGGGTAACTGCAGCTAGTGATGATTAGCACCCTTCAGTAGAGAGGACAAGCAATGGATGGACATGGGAAATGACTTATCTTCTGCTGCCCTCACCCCGAAGAAGTGACTGTTCAGTTCAAGATGAAGGGACATCAATGGTGGGGAAGTTTGGGGGACCTTTGCCCATGCTGAACTGTATCCAGGGATGCTGGACCAATTTTCATAGTGGGGGTGCTGATGATGGAAACCATGTATTTTGTATTTTTTGTTACTACTTCAATCAAGGGAGTGTAGCAGCATGCCCAGCATCCCTAGTTCCAGCACCATTGACTGTATCTACTCTTTAGATTATGAGAGGATTTCAGTACCCAGGGCTGCCAATCTAACACTTCTTCTGCATTCTAAACAAAGCCATTGCAAAGTGATGTCAAGGAGGGAAACCGATGTCTGTGCTGGGAGCAAGCTGATGGTTTAGCCACTGAAGAGTGTGAACGAAACTTTTCATGCAGCTGGTGTATTTCACTATACTGCACATGGTGTGCGACCATTGTGGGATCTTATTAACATTAATCAGGACTTAACAGGTAAGTACTCCAGCCGGTCCGTTGCAATCAAGAGAGAATTCTCAACCACCTACACATCCTTTCTTATTGCTGGGTTTAAAAAAGATACCGGAGCTAAATATTTTGTATGCATTAAACATGTTAGCTTTGAGACACTGGCCAAAGTCAGCATTGATACAAGCCCTCAATTCTACTAACGGGAGTGTGGTTAGATCAGGCCTGAATTTGGCCCCATATATTTCAATAGAATAATACAGTACCATTTAAAATGCATTTTTTTAAAATGTGCATTTTTAATCAAGGAACTTTTTTTTTTTTAAAATAAAGAACTTTTCACAAGAAGATGGGAGAATCTGCCTGATGAAATATTGACTGTCTCAATTCATATTAGGCTCCCAAGCATCACTCTGAATTGACTAATGGCCATTACATCAAATAGATTTCCACCTTAATCTTTAGTTCTTGTCTGAGTGATATTAATACACACTGTTTATCATTAATGAACATTAGAATGTGATTATAATACAAGTAATTAATGCCTATCATAAATGTCTGCAAATACAGTGCAATAATTGAATATATGGTTAATGAATCACTACCACAATTAAATTCCAAATTTCCTTACTGCGAACTATATCTAGAGCTGGCCTACACCGCAAATTTACATCAGCATAACTGTGTCTCTCAGAGTGTGGAAAATTGACATCCTTGAGAGCTGTAGTTATGCCAATCTAACCCCCCCTTCCCCAGTTTAACAGTGCTAGGTCGATAGAAAAATTCTTCCATTGACCTAGTTACCACCTCTCAGGGAGGTGGATGAACTACGCCCATGGGAGAACCCCTCCCATCAGCGTAGGTAGTGTCTGTAGCTGTGTCACTGTAGCATTTTAAGTGTAGACGTACTCTCAGCTAGAACAGTTTAAGCTAGTAAGACACTTTGGGACTGTTGTCTTTATTTGTTGTCATTAGCGATTGTACTGAATCGTTTTAGAATTTGTATGCAGTGTTCCATATTTAGTCACACAAGGCAGAGATGCACTTTGTAGAGAGGCCCTGGTTTTATTTATTGCTTGTGTTTTGATAGCAACTGCCTCATATAGTAAGGACCTGGTCCAAAGGCCACTGAAGTGAATTGGAGTCTTTCCATTGACTTCAATAGGATTTGGATCAAGCCCTAGATGTTTCACAGAAATTAAAATTAACAATATTTAATACAAAAATTTGAACTTTCAATATACTTTAGAAGTAACTAGACATCAACAATGAAACCAGCCTGCCAATTAACAACAATATTTCCAGTATTTCTAATCCATTGTCCCACTTCCCTTCCTTACATACCAAAAAGAAAAGTTGGGCTATCCAAAGCTTCAAGGACCCTTCGTTATCCACTTCCTATCAGCAACCTTGTACAGCAACAGGGCTCCACTGATTGCCAATATGCAAGAAAAGGGAGATGGTCTCTTGGGGAACCAGTCTCTAAAACAAACCCTTGAATTCCATGAGGCAACTTGTTGGCAGCCAGTGCAGATTTTGGAGCACTAGTGTAAGGCACTCACTGTGCAACACATCGGAGGGGGTGACCAAATTGTTCACATTCTTCAAGTAAACCAAGTCATTTTTGACTCACATAGTACGCTAATTTAATATTGAGGTGGCACTGCATGGATAAAGTCCACCTCTAAAAGGAAAGGTTGAACTCTTCTTGCCAGGCACAAATGAAAAACCATGCTCTTGGCCAGAGCTGCTAAGCTGATCATCCATCAGCAACCCAGTATCTAATGAAACAGCTAGACTTCAAACTTGTGATGTAACTAGAATGGCAGATGGTGCTTACAAGTTTCCTGCCAATACCCTGGAGACACAAAATAAAATCTGTCTTGTACTGATAGAAATGAAAACCTTCAACACACACTTATGTATATATATGAAAAATATTGATCACACAAGAATTTTCTCTCTCTGAAACCGGACAGTTAAAAATTTGTAAAACTAGACTAAAATGAATTATTCACATTCCTCCCTTGCATGCTTGATAACATTTAAAAATCTGCCTTCCACATTTGTGTCTGTGGAGTTACATTTTTTCAACTGATTCAAACTATTGGTGCAAATCCTGTAGTCAATGGAAGACTCCTGCCAACTTACATGGCAGTTGGATCCAGCCTTTACGGTTCAGAAAGGTCATTTGTACAGTATGTTTGTGACCTTGGGAAGGTTTTAAAAGTAACAGAAACTTCTAATTTGCTCTGTCTCAGGTCTGGTCTGAAATAGGTCAGATTTGCTGTTGTTCAGGGCATGCTGCAGGGCAAGTTGTTTTGCTTTGTCATGAACGACAATTTGGGGAAATAGACTTATTGGGCAACGTGTTGGGCTGTGAACATGGATTATTTAGAGCTGCTGTTTGGTAGAAAGGATGGCTGATTGAAACTGGCATTTGATTTTGTCATTTAAAGTTATTGGTGGGGTGCTCAGAGCTGGTGTGTGGGTGCTTGTTTAGTTTAAAGGAAAAGAAAATAAAAATACCAAACCTTCTTTAAAAAAAAAGATCAGACAGCTTCAGGCAACACAGTTGTCGTCCTGTATTAGAGATTTCTCTTTATTTAAATTAGCTGGGTCCAAACAGCTTTGCCAATAGGACCACTCTGCCGCGTTGGACTGTCGTATAAGGTTGTTTCTGTCAGCCCCAGTCCCTGTCTGCCTTTCTAAAATGCACATCTGAAGGGAAACCTGAAACTTACCGTTTTTTGACTAGCAAAGCGGAACTCACTCGGCTTCTCCAGGGGATCTGGACACGTTTATCCTGCCTTCACCTAAAGATATTATTGTCATGTTTATGTGAAAACGAGCAAACTCAGCACTCTGATCTCTGACTGTCGTTCAATACCACATTAACAAAAAAACCAAAACCACAAGAATAAAGTTACACATTGAAGGACTGAGATGAACCCACCAACAATATCATTTCACTGGTGCTGACTTTAACCGGTGAAACCGGTGACTTTGAATCGGTCCAACGGGGGGTGGGGAGGGAGGGAATAACACAGGATCTTCAAAACAACCTTCCTCTTTAAAAGGAGACCAACACAGGAGATTTTTAAAAAGTGGGCTTGTGCCCTTTTCTGACTTTTTCTGATGTATGGTATAAAGAGGACTGAAAGGCTCATGTTCCCCGCCCCCAGCCCCCAAAAAAGATTTTGTTTCTGCTTGTTTTTACTTTAGAAATACAAGTGTTGTCGCCTCTGGTTTTGTAAGAGATCTCCCGGGATGAATCCGGGGTGGATTGAGTTCTTCCTTAGCCATTCATTGAAGGAGGGGGCGATCCTTATCAAAGAGATCTGTTCTCCCAAGCACTGCAGTAGAAAAGGGGTTAACAACAAATGCCACACAGTATTTTAAGTAGTCTGAACAAGTATCACCTCCCTGCTCAGCTTTTATTGACATGGTTTCTCTGGCATCATAACCTGGTTTTCCCCTCGCCCTTTGGACCTTCCAGGATAGACAAGACCTGAGTTTCTAGCATAAATCTCCCAGCAAATAACAAAAACTTTTCAGCCCTCGGATTTCTATAAGCAGCAAACGGCCAAAACTCATTTTCCCCCTTTGCAAGTCCCCTTTAAATACAATGAGATCTGCCCATTCTTCCTATGGGTATAAATACTCCCCTCCAATTAACAGGGTGGAGGGAAATAAATGGGACAGAAAGGACCGGAAACCCGTGGAAGAGATGAGCACCCAAACACTTCCATCATGACTCGGAGGTCTATGATTTACTTCTTCTTCACCATCATTATTATTTATCTGTATTAAGGCAGCACCTGGAGGCCCTTCCAGGGGTCCCGCTGTGCGTCGAGCTGTACAAACACATTCCCCACAAAAATGTACAGTCTAACTAGACAAGCCACACAACGTGTGGGAGAAAGAAAGTGGGGAAATGAGTCACCGAGAGAGGCACGGAGATATTAAGGGATTTGCCCGTGGTCACACAGGAAGTCTGTGGCAGAGTCCTAGATCAGTGCCGAGTTTCAGTCAAAGCTGAGTATTAGACGGTTAACGCTGATTACCTTTAGGAATGCCAGGAAACCGATGTTCACCAAAGCCCATTTTCTTTAGCAGCATTTAGTGATATGTACTGCCAAAACACTGTATCACCTACAGATCCTCTTTACCCCTGGCTACAGAATTTGCCCGTGACTGGGAGGAAAGTCTCCACAGGACTCTTTACAGACACCACCGCACCAGTGCCTACTTATCCACCAAAGGGGTTTGTCACAGGGAAGAACTTTTGAAAAGCAATATTCTCCACTAATGTGATTCTATCTGCAACTTTGGGGGAACCTGTGAATACCCGGGGAGCCAAGAGTTTCTTACATAAACAACTAAATAATAAAACCCAGCTATGCCTATTGGCAGGTGCGTAGCTCTGTTTAGAGCAGCCCCTGACTGAAATGAAGGCAAGTGGAGAAAGTTAAAATCTTGGGCAGTTGTTTTGAAAATACCTTACCCCCCAGCACCCTTTACCATCTGTCTGCTACCCCTCAAAACAGCCACCTCCCATCTTCCCACAGGGCCCTATTGTCTGGAGTTCCTGTTTCTCAGGGGCGGAGCTGTGGGAGGCAGCCATGGGTGCTATAATAGGCACCTGCGGCCTGCACAATAGGCTGTGGGTGCTTGTGGGAGAGACAGATTGATGTATTGTGCGCGGGGGAGGAGGGCTGTCACTTGAATCCATGTGAACCCAGACTTTAGGGGCAAGGAAGATTGACAGCTTTTGTAGGTTGCAGTTCTCTTTCAAAGCTCCGCTTTAATAGACAGTAAGTTAGGAGGCCCAGACCTTCACTCCCATAATTCTAACAGGGCAATCATGAGCACTGAGAATTTCTTCTTTTTTCCCCCTCTCTCTTTTCCCCCTTGTTATGCATCAGATGATTTCAGTGGAGGAATGTGCAGCATTAATTAGAATTTGTTAGCAGATACCAAGGGGAAAAGTTTCTTCACAACAACTATAGGAGGTGTCACTGCTACAAAGACTTTTTTGTTTTCTCTCTCCATTACATTATCAGTGCAATATGTAAGGTAGTGATTCTTTTCATTTAAATTAAGTGGAAAGCTACTAAATCTTGTTTTATTCTCCAAAAAGAAAAAGGTCCTTAACACTTATCTTTTAACTTCTTTTATTTTGTAAGGTTAGTGTTTACTTTTGCTTTCAGTCCTCCCCATTTACCAGCCTATAGGGACGTGTATCCAGTTTTGTGTTATTTAGTTCGTACAATTATAGGCGAGTGCAACTAATATATAGGGATTGTCGTCAGATTAAAAACAAGGAATGTTAAGGTTTAAAATCAAAACCTTATTTGAAATGACATCTAAATACATAAGTGCAGCTATACTTTACAAAGACTTTCGTCAGTTACTTCAACTTTTTAAAAGCATTTGAAACCTAAAAAATTTTTGCAAGTATATAAAATCACAGAAGGAGCTTAGAGGAAATATTGCTTCGTATTTTTTTGTTTTCAGTCCTAAAATTATTTCAGTTTGCCACTCTCAGCAGCAGCAACATAAAAAACAAGTATTAGCTGCTACATTTTAAGAATGTATTTTCATTTTAAGAAGATATTTGGTTTTTTCTACCATCACATATTTAACTAATTTATCTAGGAATAAAAGGAAACACCCCCACCCACCCACCGCCCTCCACCCAACTAAAATAAGGACTGGTTGTAACAATGAGTAAAGCCTCACATATTATTCTATAAAACAATATCACATTTGTGTTTTTTCCTCGTTAGATTTGAAAATTACCAATTTTTTAAATGCATAAAGTTCCATTTCTTAAAAACTTGTAAAACACACTAGCGAGGGGGGTGTATTATTGACTTATTTACTAACTTGAATTGCATGTTGTAGTAACTCTTTTTATGTTTACCCTGAAAATATGCAGACAAGTTTTTTTATTGCATTATAAACGAAAGGCAACAGTCAAATCAGCTTAAAAAATCATTTTGCTATTCATTTTCTAGCATTTGTTCTGATCTCCATAGTATTGGCGTAAATCAGGAATTATTCATGGAAGTCAACAGGCCAGATTCTCAGCTGATGTAAATTGACTTTCTTGAAGCTACACCCATTTACATCAACTGAGGATCTGGCCCAGTTGAGTTAAACTCATGTGAGTGAGTGAGATCAGAAACAGTTCATATCATTTATACAAAGTGATTTTCTGAATGGAAATTAATTAAGTAGAAAGCTAATTGAAATATATTTCACCCTCTGGAATTATATCAGTATGCAAAGGAAGAAACGAGGCTGTTAAGTGTAACGCTCTCTTACAAGAAAAGTTCAGACTAGGCACCTTAACAAATAGTTATATGCAGTCTTTATAAAAGGCAGAGATAAAAATCATGGTGTTTGTCCCCTTTTTAAAATTTTAGGACTAGATTCAAGATTTCACCATTTTGGCCATGAAAATTGCATAACACCACTAGTCTGCTGGAAGGTACTAATTCACTAATTAATCAGTTGCTGAAACCAATTGAATAAAGGCTCTCAGACAGACAAGCAAAGCCTTACCAGAGCATTCGGCCATCTCAAAGACAGTGCAGTCTTTCTTGTAGGTTTTCAGTTCATAAATAAATACATTTTAAAAGAAAAGACTGATGTCCCACTGTAAGTCAAGTCAGTGCTAGTTTTTATGATACGAGAAACAAAATTGAAAAATAGGAACTGTTTGTGTGTCTAGGGTGAGTTTTTTCTATCTAGAGCCCAGACCATTTATTACTAAGGGCCCCAGAACTGCCCTTGTTAGAGCTGCAATAAGTTGGTGCTACTCTGGGACTGCAATGTTACGCAGCTTGTTCTTGCAAAGTTTTCCTCGGCTATATGACTATCTGGTAGCTCAACCCAAGTGCTGGCTCCCCTTTTTTTTGGCCGATTGTGCCTCTCTCAGAATTATGCATCCCTCATGCATGTAAATGAGAGGGGTCCAATTACACATGGGGGGGGGCGGGCGGGGGGAATAAAAGGTTTAATGAATCGTAAAAAAGCAAGGATTGCATAGAAAAAAGCACAATCTCCCCTCCCCCCGGCAATGCACTTTAAAAATGTGCATTTCTCATTTTGAGAGTGATGATAAAATGCAGAGAAGTGACCATGAAAAAAAGTTGAACAAATAAAACCCTTTTATTGAATTTATTATTGTTCGCACTTGAAATCTGTGAAATATACTTCGGAGGGGAAAAAATAGCTAAGCATGTAACTTATGTTCTTGTAAACAGCCTAAAGAGATACATTATGTTACTGTCTTAACTTCTTCTTTATACTCCGTTCTCCTGTCTGGAGTTATACCAGTCAAAAAAAGATGAGAGTATGTCCTTTCCAAATTATATATAAATAAATAAGAAGGAATGCTGTGGATTTAAAGACCACAGAGTGAATGGAAGCTAATTATTTGTTATAAAGTCCAGATTGTAGATACATAGGTTAAGCAGTCTAAATTATATGATTACCTTCCATGCCCAATTGGCCCTGAAATTAGCAGTTAATCACAGTCTACTCAAAGTGAATTAATGTTTAGATAACGTGTTCTCTGATACACTTTTTTGGGAGAACTAGAGAAAAACAGAACAGTGCTTTCAATATTAAATCTGCTTTATGTGAATATGTTTCAACAAGACATTTATAATAAATAGATTTACAAACAGTCTGGGAAGTTTTAGATGTCAATGGAGTTCATTAATTTCCTTTTCCAGCAGACAGAGGGTAAAGATTCTTTACCTACGGTTGGTAAAATGGGCCACTCAGCTCCCAGTGACTGTAGCAGGAGTTATGCATGAATATGTGCTTGCTAGCAGCTGTGAGAAGAGATGTACGTGAATATGATCAGATGACAGTGGCCTCCCTTCTTCCAATACAATAATGGGGGTTGATTTTCAGAGGTACCGAGAAGTCACATTTCAAGTTGCAACCGATGGCATCTGCATGTGCTTAGCATCTTTAAAAATCAGCCCCACAATTTCTTCACGCTTTAGGGCTTGTTTACACTTCAGAGTTATTCCAGATTAAAGGAGGCTGTGAATTTAAAGTGGAATAGATATTCCAGAATAACTCCAATAGACAAGCCCTTTCTAACTTGCTCCAGTTCTGAAACACTGGAACATTTCAAGAAGTTTAAGAAGCTGGCACATATGTTTAGCTGTAGTGGCGAATGAGACTCATTGGTAGCATGTGGAATAGAAATAAAGACCTGCTGCTTTGCAGAAATAAATTCTGGGTTACTTCTGTATGGGGGTGAGAATCCTTTGTTTTACTGCTGGTGACCCAGGCTGTGATGCCAGCTGGTGCACCCAGTGTGACTTGTAGCTGAGTTTAGTATTCGAGTATCTGAATGTAGCTGCCAAAATCATGTTTAAAAATCAGCTAAAGGGTCCGAAATGTGCCTTTAGCTTCTGTGAGTGGAGGAGCCCCTAACCGCACAGAGAAGCTTTTGTCAGTAACTGTCATTGCTTCCTGGGCAGTGGATACTTCTGTTGAATCAGCTTTCCGCAAGTGTAGAGAGGTAGACCAAGGCAGCAGGGCTCTCTTAGGAGGGGAAGCCACACTATGTGGGACTCAGAGTTTCCTTCTCCCCACACTTACATAATCCATGGGGCTGGGAGGCTACACCTTTGCGTCCTCCACTTCTTCCCAAGGGGACTTTCCCACTGAGGGTTTGGTTCATCTGTGAAGTCCACTATCCCCCCTCCTCAAAGGCATTTTCATAGGATGGTGCCATTTAGTTCCAAAATCCCAAATCATCAGCAATGTGTGCATGTGTGAATTTAAAAATGACAAGTAAGTTTTACACCAATAGAGTTGTGCACAGCAGATTCCAGCTGGACATCTCTCTCTGAGAGTAACATCCCGAGGGCAGGCTTTAAAAGGAGTTCTGAATACCAAACAGATCTTCCAAGTGTCCACAGCGACCCTGGATTGCCACCTTGGGAAACCCCATTTGTAAATCCATTATCTGAAGCATGGAAATGACCGAGTAACTCAGCAGTTCACTGGGCTGAAATGAACCTATTTGCCTTTGTTATTTCGCTCCCTCTGAGTTTGAGTGAACCCAAAATCTTAAAATGCAATTCCCTCAGTATCACCTGGTTTTGTTGTCACAAGCATGCAACACCTTGTATTTCCTAGGACTTTTGGGCTAAATCAGCCTCATTGCACTAATGAGATGGAACCCTTTTGCCAGTTTGTTAATGGCAGCAAGAAGGGCCACGTTCAGTATGTTCAGGGTCTCTCTTGAAGAACAACAAAACTGGCTTGAGCCCTCACCCAGAATTCTGGGAAAAATAAATAAATCTTCCTCTGATTGCAGCCAGAACTCCCCCTATCCCAGCCCCTTGCAAGTACTCTGAGTCTACATGCAAAACAAGGGTCTCTTTCCATCACTCCCCACCCACCACAAACCCCACTCACACTCAGGTCGGGTCACTGAACAGTAGGGTAGTCTGGGTGTTCGAGGGTGGGGCTCTCTGCAGATCTGGGCCTGCTGAAGCTGCTTGCCTAACTCTACCTTGAGGTTCCACTACCTGGTCCAGCTTTATAATTCAGCTCACTTTAAGTGCGGGAAAGGAGGGTGGGGACCCTCAATGAAGTCACTTTACTGCCCTACTGGTTTTCCACCGGGGAGTCCTCTCTGTGCCATAGGATCCTCAGAAGGGGGAAGCCAAGGGAATCTAGGACTCTGGAGCTGAGTCTTGGGGGTTGGGGGAGGGAGGAATTAAACTCCTCTCATCTATTTCATCTTCAGATCGCAACTGGAAGTCTTACTGGAAGACAAGCTTTAGACAAAAGCAAGTTATGGGGCTCAATGCAGGAGTACCTGGATTAAATCCTACAGCCTGTGTTACGTAGGAGGTCAGACAACCTGGTCTAATGGTCCCTATTAGTTCAAAATCCTCAAATCTCAATCTGTTGGGAGATTCATGTTTAGTGAGTCTCCCTCTTAAAGATGCTACAGAACAGGGCACCTTTTCAGCGAGATCGCAAAGCCCTGTGGTAGGTGTAATCCTAGCATTAGTGTCAGATTCCTTTCCTTTGCTGGGCAGATAACATGTACACCCTTTAATCACAGCAGCAGTAGCTAAAGTTGTGACAGGGGAAGTTGCTTGGTGGTTTCACGGATAGGAACTGACATTCTCCCGTCTGAGTAAATTAGGAGAAAATCACTCACGTTTCTCCACTGTCATGTGGGTGAAACAGATTTCTCTGAAGAAGTTTTACTCTCACCCAGTTCACATGTCATGGTGTATAAAGGGCCAAACTCTCCTGGGAGAGAATGGGATTTGGGGGCCTTGTATGGGGAAGGGGGTTTACGCCCCTGCATGCCATGGAGCCATTTGTGGGAGGGCTCCCTGGCCCCCAAGACACAGATGATGTAGAGGAGACTGATTTTAAGGGGATTATGGTGTGTGGGAGAAATATATGAAAAATAAATTTAAAGTGCTACAAAAATGAATTTTAGTCCTTCCTTATCCTCCATAACTCTAGGTCGGCAACAGAATTAGTCAGATTCAAGTTTTGGTCTCGCAAAAATTATATCTAGATGCATGTAGCTATGTAATGTGCAGTACGTACATTTTGTATGCGATTTTATTCTATACTGAGATCATCTGAAAGTTTTGAACTATGAAAATTACCTACTTCCACTTTATACCAAATGAATTGCAAGGGGGAAGGATTGTTAGGTGGGATAAATCTATCTCTATAGTATATCTAGAGGATGGAGCATGGAGCTGGGAGCCAGGAATACCTAGATCCTGACTATCCAGTCATTGGCATGTACTCCCCTCCCAGTCGTCATAATACATTTTTAAAATTGGTTTCTCGTGATGCACGGTGTCTGCCAGAGCTTCAACAGAAGAAGGCATTTTATAAATAAAATTATTTCTCTATCTAAAGCTTTGGGATATCGACTGATGAAAAGTGCTATATAAGAGTTAGGTATTTATTATTATTATTTTCTATATTTGCTTTTATCTGAAGAAACTACTTTGAATTTCATGCCATGTACAAACTAGACCTTTAAAAAAAATGTTTTTTTTACCCCCAGCCATGGACATAGGAACAAAGTGTTTAGGACGACATTTTCAAAAGCCCATTCTTAGATGCTCCATTTAAGACGCCTAGGGCCTGAGTGCGTGGAGGACTCCAAATAATATCCATGGAGAAATTTCTTCCTGCTTCCTTACCACTGGTTGAAAACATGCTATCCTATGTTGTTTTCTGGGGATGGTGAAGTCCTAGAAAGGACACTGTTCATGTTCTTGTGTTTTCTCACAATCATTTGGTAGAACAATGGACCATCCTATGTTCATACTTCCTCATTTGTTGGGTACATTTTTGGGAGATATGTTCTCTACGTTCAGTGCAGGAGAACAGTACTTTAACAACTGATGGACTTTTGGATCTCATCATAAAACACACTGTAGAAAATCTCAGTACGTAATGCTCTACTTATTCACGAGTTATCTAATTTTTTCTGATAGAAGAGAGACAAGAAAGAAGAATATCTATTCATAGGACTACCAGCAATCCCTCACATCATTCCTATAGCATACACGCAGCACAAAGAAGTGATTGTTTAATTTTTACTAGAATCCCACTGCTGTCTTTTATCTGCAATTTACCTCCCCATGTTTCTTCATTTCGGGTCAGACTGCTCAAAACGATCAACATTCTGCATTGTGGTGTGGAGTCGGATAGCAATGTGGAAGTCCGTTTCATCTGCGACTTCATTCTCTCTGTAGCAAACAGGCCTCCCAAAGTAGGTGGCAACAATTAGTTCTTTTCCAGATCTTTGGCAGAAGTGAACAG